ACCCGAAAAATGGGAGTCTGCCCACGGTGCATTGTCTGTTCACTATGACATGTGACAGTGTTGAACCTGTGACAGGATATTATTTTATTCGTGTCCTGAAAATTACGTGTTTACCTAGTACGTAAATTGTTGACATTATAAACCTCCGCCCTCAACCCTTGCTTTGCCTATGTGCAGATCCATGTAAGAGTGGCAGTGCCACCATGGTGTACAGACCTATGGAAGGTGAAATAATCCATGGAATTTGCGAACTGCTGGCAATGAGACAGGCGAGTGTTACTGAGGCGATGGAGTCATTCCTGCATGTTATCAGGACACAGTTACACAAGGCATCAGGTTTTGGAAATCTGCTACGCCAGGAAGTGTGCCAGCTGAAGGCATGCAACGGTGCTGGCATTTCGCAAGCATGGCAACAAGTGCTCTCCAGCATCTCAACAGCTTTTCCCAAAGTGAAGCTCTGTATAAGACATAATATGACACAGCTAAAAACAACTGAAGCAGTGACATGTGAATGTTGCACGAGCATGCGTGTGTGTGTATGTCGGTGTGTGTGTATATGTGTGCGGCTGTGCCAAAGCCTAGAGTGTTCATTTGCGGCTGTGGCAGGGACTTCAGCGTCGGCCCAATGATCTAACTCGCCACAGGAAATACTGCAACTCCTGATGCTATCATTGCACGGAGCAATGGGCATCCAAAGGTCTAAAGGTGTATGTGTGTTGTGCATTGGTGGTCGATTCACATGGCTTTGCTAGTTGTGTGGATTATACAGTTATCTGGTGCAAATCTTGATCTGTCTCATCCAGATCTTGTTCGCTATCGTTGCTATAAGAGAAAATCTGTGGGTGCACATCCAGTGCATTTGCAGACGTGCGTTCTTCTCTTGCGACGGGCGTATGCATGGTATGTGTGTGCGTGCGTGTGTGTATGCTTCTGTGATAAGTGGATCAAGCAGTATACAGGGTATTCACAGGTATTCGCCTTGAGTGCATTTGCCGATAGTGTGACTTTCGTCGCAGAGAACTTTGCTCAGTCGGTCAGGCGACTCGGCCTTACGTTTCCTGAAGGCAATGTGTTCAGAACACAGTTACTTCAAGTATGAACAGCTATGAATAATAATATAATATAATATTCGCGGGATCCGCGTCGGCATCGCTTGAATGTTCAGAAACACACAAACTAGCCTTCGCATCCGCAGGCCACCACTATGCCTGTTAACCTTAGTGGCGAATGCAGACCTCACAAGTGAGTCAGGGGAGAGGAGGTTAGTCTCTCAACCAATCGGGCGTGTAACGGCCCATAACCCTGTAAACTGCATCCTTGTTATTCTCACTCCGAGCTGTGAGTACCCAGTTGACCGTGGGTGTCGGCGCAGTTCAACACGCGTAAAAAGTCTTTTTACACGCTCCCTGCTACCAGCGCGGGTCTTGAACTCGGGACCTCATGATTCGCAGGCAGGCCTGCAAACCAATCGGCCATATGCGTTGGTACAGCTATGAACAGTTAAGAAATGACAAATATTGTGTGTAGTTCATGGACAATAATGTGAAACACTTTGAATGCAGAAGAATGAGGATAGTGGCATCAAATGCTGCATGGATTCTGTTTGATATGCTACTTTTGTTCCCTTCCATGGAAAGGTGAGTACATCCTCGAACTTCATCTCGAAACTTCACACAAACCTAGAATGGAACTTGGACAACATGAAGGGGCCATGGGCATGGTGTGTTCAGTGGAGAACTATTCCGAAAACAGGGTGTCATTCGCACTTACTCAATTCAAATTTGAGTACATTTCGTGAATAACTTACCTTGACATTCCGTCGTCTCCAAAGCAGTGAACTTCCCAAAAAAATTAAAAGCCACAGCTCAACCTAAGGTAATGCGTGGTACGTATCAGAAACAACCAGCTTTCGCTCTGGAGATCCAGAATAGGCCTCGAAGCATAGCAAAAACAATTGAGAAAAAGAAGATGACGACGACGTTTCAATCACGCATCAAATTTCGCGGGTCGAGTGCAGCAATCCTCGGATCGTGAAATGTGTGGTGTGTCGCCTCCCGGTATTTTACGACTCCCTGCTTTTCAGTTTAGAGAGCGTGTGTAGGCAGGTGTGTATTTACCGCCGTATGAATCAACCACAGTACGATCAGCTGACGTTATAACTTATAAGGATGATCTCGTGCAGCGATACTATTGATATTTTTTAAGTCTTTTCTAAGGACTCTCCACTGCAGCGTTTTCTTTCCACTCGGTTCTCTTCTTTTCATCGCTCAGCTTGCACTTGCAATGCTTATACATACTGATCAATCCCGTTCAATTTTCCGTACATTTTTCTCAAAATCCATAGCGTGGACTAAGTAGTGATTTTCCGTACAAATATGGAAAATACGGAAGGTTGATAGCACTGTGTTGAGGCAGCTATTGTTGACTTTATTTGGAATTAATTCTGTCGTATTTGCACACATTCCTGAGTGCATTGTATTACTATTAGCATCCAATGTGTGTTATCTGTGCGAGCTTCTAACCTTGTGAACATTCACCGAAGGTTCGGTTGGTGGCGCACAAGATCTTCCGGGATGGCTCTTGCGGGCTCTCAGCCCTGCGTTCACTGCATAAAACTTGGCAGAACAGTTCAAGTTTCAATTTAGGCCATTTCCTCACTCTGTGACTCCCAATATTTCACATGTGCAATGATTATAAGTATTGTAGATCACTGGGACAGCGCCACTTTGTTAGCCGATGTTAGTCCTGAAGAAAAATTGACTTCATTGCCCTAAAGGTGAGAACAAATTGGGACTGTTTGTGAAGGAAAACTTTGGAAAATGTAATTTCGAATAAAAGTCATTTCGTTTATCTGGATAGGTCCAATATTTCACAAATGTGCAATATAAGTATTGTAGATCACTGGGACAGGGCAACTTGGTCTGTCGAAGTTAGTCACGAGGAAAAAAATTACTTCATTGCCCTAAAGGTGAGAAAATATTGAGGCAATTTGTAAAGAAAGGATTACCTCATCTTAGGTGGTCAAAGTGCCTCAGAGTTCGAGTGGCAGTGCAAAGCCAGTGAGTAAGCCAGTGAACAAGACCCTTTATTAGTGAACTCCTCGGCGATGGCCACAGATGGCTGTATTTCGGCAATGGAGATCGAAAGTCTGACCACAATTGTTCAGCGAAAGGACGAAGACGACGCCATGTACGGATTTCCCGGGCGCTATGACCTATGTACGGACTTGTCCCACACCGAGCAGGTCGTAATATTTTGAATCGTTGAGTCGATCATGGTTGTGCACAAGTGATGCGCGTGTCGCCTCCCGGGTCTATACGACTCCCTGCTACAAACATTTGTAGTTCAAAAAACTTTTGAAAAATGTTACAAAAAAATTGACCTACACAAAACATTCTGGTTAGGTCACACGGATGTACACGTGCACAGGACATGACGTCAACAGTGTACTTGCTAAGTATGCACGCACACTCACGTGCGCAAAATATTTTTGTGAAAATGTAGCCCTTTCTACACCAAACAAAACTGTTACTCATGCACAGCGAACAATCAGTCAAGGAGTAAAGAATGGAAAACGAGACGAAGCCTAGAATGATCAATACTAGTAAATTAGAACTTACAGTCCATTTCAAAACTATAGACGCGTACCTAGGCAAAAACCGTTATGCCAGCATCTATACCACATAAAATCTGTGATCACTTTGTGCATAAATTTTTCCAAATTGGGTGTCTGTTATCCAATCCTTTAGAAACTATATGAGAGTAATTGTGGAGCGATCCTGAGCAATATACCGAAAACTATTCTCAAAAAGTCCCAGCCAAATTTGAAATATATCAAAAACAATACGCGTCTATAGTTTTGAAATGCACTGTAGTCTGTTGGCTGGTCTCCCGAGTAGCTGGAACTGGTCTCAGATAGGTGTTGGCGGATAATGCTGGCATTATATCGAGCATTATACACCACCCGGAGCATTACGAGCATTATAAAGCATTACGAGGCCAAAAATGGCATTATACGACGTTCTACATGACTGCATAGTAGATCTACACACATCCGCATGTACAGATTCGTATCGGCGTTGGTCTTTGATTGGCAACATTTATTACTATACGCGATGTATTTTAAATAGTCTACAAGTGATAGACCACCGCACACATCATGCATGGTACCGGTACCAAACAGATCGTGGCACGCAGTGCCAGGCCCAGTATACTGCATGCAGTATAGTTGGTTGGTTGGTTGGTATATTTTATTTTACTTCGCCAGAATGAACAGGCATTGCTGCCTTCTTGCCTGGACAAGTGGATTGTCCAAGCTCTCACAAAAAGACGAAGAAAGGAGAGAAATGTTACATGAGAGTGTGAAGCATGCAATCTTATAAAATAAAAAATAAAAAATAAAATAAAAATTTCCATGAGAGTGTGACGCATGTGTTCTGTAGAGGCGTGCTCCTGCCTCGGCACACACCCAAACCACACAAAGGACCAGCTCGCGACTATGAAGAGAACTCTGTTAGAAATCTCTGGCTCCAAGCCGAAATTGCTTGAAACCTTTCTCCGAACTCGTAAGCACTACAGCCTACTCTAGCTAACTGACTACTGCAGTGAAAACGTCTAGCTTATAACACTTGCATGCCAACAACTCCATCAGCAGGCGCGAAAGAAGGTGAAGACAAAGCCTGTGACTTAAAAGTGTGAACCCTAACGAAAGTCACAGCTACATGTAACACAAAACGAGAGTGCATGTCAGTGACACGTGCGACCTCCTGAACATTCTCCCCTTCCCGATATGTTGAAAAGTAACATCGAAAAGCATATCGCAACTCAACAAACAAATTGCCAATACGACAAAAGCATTATTCCGAAAAGCTGTTGAAGAAATACAGCAAATGAACAATGTGAACACATTCAAGAAATAGTGAATCAAACTTTCCTTGAAATCAGTTTCACAAACGCCTCCGGCTGGTTGTTGTCACCTAGCCAATGTGACACCAGGGGCTTTAGCACAAGCCAAGCGGACATAGTCGCGTGATAGGGCGTGTCTTCTCCTTGCCGCCCACAAGCACCTTAGCCACTCGTACATGCCCATCTGGACCAGGAAAAACTGCCGTGATTCTTCCCAACGGCCAGTGCCCTCGTGGCGTGTCGGGATGAAGAACTAGTACCATATCTCCAACAGCCAAGTCCCGATTGATCTTGATCCACTTGCGACAAGCATTGAGCGTCGGAACCCATTCCTGTAGCCAGCGCTTCCACACTTGGCGTATTACGTCCTGCACTAACCGCCATCTCTTCTCTGGGCTGAACTCTGTCGTGTCGACGCTCGCAGGTGCAGGCTGCCCGTTAGCGTGTCCCGTCAGAAAGTGCAACGGGGTAAGCGGGGTGTTGTCGTCAGCACTGGCGCTCTGGTATGTCAGAGGCCGAGAATTGAGGAGCGCCTCAACTCCGACAATGGCCGTCGTCAGCTGCTCATCAGTTAAGACGCCTGGAGAGTTGCCGAGAATAGCAGTCAATGCCTTCTTGGCTGCTTTAATCATGACCTCGTGGACTCCTCCATGGTGTGGGGCCAATGGCGGATTGAAATGCCACACCACTCCTCGGTTTGCCAGAGACCGCTGGATGGCATCTTGGTCGAGCTGTTGCACAAGGGCTAGCAATTCCTTGTTGGCTCCCACGAAGTTTGTGCCATTATCGGACAACATCTCTAACGGCAGTCCACGTCGGCCGACCATCCGCGTGAATGCATTCAGAAAGGAGTCGGTGTCTAGTGCATAGCTCATCTCCAGGTGGACGGCACGGCAGAGCAGACAGGTGAACAGGCAGAGGTATCGCTTCTGTTGAACTCGTCCTCGACCTTGCTTGGTCAAGAATGGCCCTCCATAGTCCACAGAACACCGGGCAAACGCGCGCAGTGGAGTTTTCAATCGCATAGCCGGCAAGGGGGCCATCACTTGTTCCACGGGCTTTGCCTTGCGACGACGACATGTATTGCATTCTCGTTCCCACTCGCGGATCATTTCCCGAGCGCCTTCAATCCAATAGTGGGTGGTTAGCGCGGCAAGAGTCTCGTTCGTTCCACCGTGCTGCCGCATCTCATGGTGCTCTTTCACGATGAGACGTGTTACGGGGTGCCGGCGCGGCAATAAGATTGGATGGCGCACATCGAAAGGCAAATTGTCTGCCAGTCGGGTTCGTCCGGACGCTCTCAAGAGACCAGCGTCATCTATCACAGGCTGCAGCTTTCCTAGATGTGACTTGGCCGGTAAGGGTTTGTGCTGCTGCCCTGCTTCAATAACATCCTTGAACTCTTCGTGTTGAGCTTCCAGGATGATGTCGTTCTCAGCCTCACTTAGCTCCGCTACGGTCAGCTCCCCGCTTCGCTTCTCGGCACGGCGACAGTTGTCGAGGAAGCGGTTGACCCAAGCCCAAACTCTTTTGTAACGCAGCCAACTGGAGAAACGATGTGGCGCAAGTCTTCCTTCTCCCCTTCCGTCACCTGTGACGGTTTCTTGCTCGTTAGCAGTCGAGTTTGCCATCAGCGTCACTTTCCTGCTCTCTTGGTCGACCTCGTGTGAGAATGAGGCGGGTCCCACTGGCCACTGCGCTGGTTTGTTGTGCAGGAAGGGCGGTCCCTCCCACCACAATGTACAACTACTTAGCTCCGCAGCCGAAGTGCCACGAGATGCGAGGTCAGCCGGATTCTGTCCAGATGGCACATGACGCCATTGCTGCGGCTGTGTCATCGTCTGGATCTCTCCAACACGGTGCGCTACAAATGGCTTGAAGTTACGGCTTGGACTTCTGATCCACCAGAGAACATCAGCACTGTCGCTCCAGAAGGTCACCTCGGACATTGGCCACTCCAGCACTTGGCACACAGTTTCGGCCAGATGCAAACCGAGAATGGCAGCCAAAAGCTCCAATCGTGGAATGCTAATTGCCTTGAGTGGAGCAACTCGGGTCTTAGCAGCTACCAGGCGAGTCTGTACAGTACAATCCGAGCTTAGGTCCCGGCTGTACGCTACAGCTCCATACGCCACCATTGACGCATCTACGAACACATGGATAGAGCTGTCTCCGGCTGGCCCGCTAGGGAACAGGCAACGAGGTATATTGACGGCAGACAGCTGTGTTGCTCCCGAGCACCACCGTCGAAACTTGTCGGCTAATGGCCCTATCACCTCGTCGTCCCAGTCGACGCCGAGTGCCCAGAGCTCCTGAATTAACACCTTGCCGACTGTTACAAATGGTGCCACAAATCCTAGCGGGTCGAACAGCTTGGCAATTTGACTCACCACCTGGCGTTTGGTCACCTTGTTCACTTCCTGGAAGGCAGGCTGGAATTGGAACACATCATGTTGCGCTACCCATCTGACTCCGAGCGCTTTCATCGTCGGCAGGCTTCCATCATTGAGCTCCAGTGCAGACAGCCGGTCCTCCGCGGGTATCTCGGCTAGCACCGCAGGCGAGTTACTCAGCCATTTCCGTGTCTTCATGCCGGCTGCAGCCCAGATCAGTGACAACTCTTGGTACATTTGCACTGCCAGTTTGTCGTTGGCTACTGAATCAAGAGTATCGTCCATGTATGTGGACTTCAACACACCATTGGCGCCTAGCGGGTGAGTCGACAGATACTTTGATGCATGTTCCTGCGTCACAAGATGGGCGACGAACGGAGAAACATTCAGGCCAAAGACCAGCCGCTCAAACTGATAGACGTCCGGTTGAGCATCGCTCTGCGGTGGTCGCCACAGGAAACGCAAGTACGGTTGATCCTCGGGGTGAATTCGAATCTGAAGATACATCTCCCGAATATCACAGACGATGGCTACGGGGTTGCGTCGAAATCTGAGCAGCACATCCAATAGCTCTCGCTGCAACTTTGGGCCCGGCTCTATGCAGTCGTTTAAGGCCACTCCATCGCACCTTGCAGCCGCGTCAAACACCAGTCGAACTTTGGTTGTACTCTTATCCATCCGGATGACAGGGAAATGTGGCAAGTACCATGCCTTTTCCGCTGAAACTGTTGTCGCCAGTCGCCTCACATAGCCCTTGGCTTCATACTGTTCGATTGTGCTGCTGTATGCCTCTGCAATAGACGGATCACGGTTCAGCCGGCTCTCCGTGTTGCGTAACCTCTTCAACGCCATGCTGTAGTTGCCGGGCAGTTGCGACTTTCGCTCATTCCATGGCAGACGAATCTCGTACCCAGCCCCGTCGAGTTGCCGCATTGACTGCTCAACTTCAGCCTTCACACTGCGGTCTTTCATGTTCCAGGGGGGCTCAGGGCTGATGCCGCCTTGATCAACTTCCCAGAACCGTTGCAAGCAGTTGTAAAGCGGGTTCAGCTGTACGCCACAGTAGGTGCTGTTGGCGCGAGTTGGTCGATCATCATGGTGCAATACAGCTCCGATACATGTCCAACCTAACGGCGTTCTGCGAGCTAGCGGTTCTCCTGGCTTGCCATTGACTTCTTCCAAGGCAGAATGCAATTCACTGTGATCGCTGCCAATTAGAACGTCCACTGATTTCTCGGTGAGAGCCGGGAAGGGAACATCGCGCAGGTGGTCCCATTGCGCTGCCGCATTCGCCCAGTCAACGGCCTTTAAGTTGCTTGCGATGTTATCAATGGTTAGCGCTGTTAATTTGGACTGGAATGTTCCGTCAGCGCTTTCCACTGTGATGTTGACCGGCGTCGTGACGAATGTTTCCGTCAGCCCACTCAGAAGAGAAACCGATGCCTGCTGCGGTCTTCCTGCCACCCTCAACTGGCCGGCAGCTGCAGTGGTTATGTAGGTGGTAGTGCTGCCATCGTCCAACATAGCGTTAACCCGTAGCCGTACTCCTTCATGCACAAGCGACACCGGGAGGATGCGTAACGAGACTGATGGTACTCCACGCGGCCGATCTTCACCCAGATCCGGCTCCCCTTCCGTGATGTCGCATGCTTGGATGGAGCAATTAATAGAGGCTGGCTCTCTTGCAGGTGTTGTTGCCCCTCTTGTGCTGATTGAAGCTGTGGGAGCGCTTGACGATGCTGCATCACTGCTCATGGCTGCTTCAGACAGGTTCCGTTTCTGCTGCGGTTGACGATCATGAAGCAGCTGGTGATGTGTCTGACTGCAGCCACTGACACCGCACTTCCTGTTTCTGGTACAGGATGTCCCTCGATGTCCAGTGCCAAGGCACCTATAGCAGAGGCCTTTCTTCTTTGCTGTTTCCCACCGCCTGCTGGGCGACTCGCTCTTGAAGATGTCACAACTCCATGTGTGATGAGGCGCATCACATACTGCACACTGGATTTTGGCAGCGCTCTGACCAGAGGCCAGGAATGACGACGCGTGGGCTCCGGAGCTGCCACCGAACGTTGGTCGACTTCTTGCAGGGGCTGGTTTAGTCGGCAGCGCCGCTGCATGATGACCATCCGCAGAACTGACTCCGTGGGCCATCTCCGCTGCTCCAGTAGCGAATTCTGCCTCGAGAGTCACCCATTCCAATAGCGTTGGTACACTGCTGGGTTTCGTGTTGTTGTGACGCCAACGGTTAAACTGGGTCAGCATGGGCATGGGCAGCTTGTTTTGCAGCTGTCGGAACAGAAGACCATCGCCCAGCTCATATTCCTTGCCTGCATCCGCCATGTTCACTATCAGCACATCCAGCAAATCGGCGAATTTCTGCAGGTCTCCAGGCCGGCCTGTCCGGAGGGCGGGGAACGACTCTACTTCCTCAAATTGGAGGTTTGTCTGCCTCTGCTCGCCACCAAATTTCCTGTCTAAACGGTTTACGGCAGCTTCGTAGGCATGGGCCGAGTAGCCTAGGCTCTCGATGGCGACCAATGCCTCTCCACCTAAATACTGCTTCAGGTGCAGCAGCTTCACCTCCGGACTTGAGCTTGTCTGCCCAACACAAGCCATGAAGGCTGCTCTCCAGGCACGATAGGCTCTCTTGTTGCCTGTGAACGTTGGAATTTGTATGGGTTTCAGCCGCCGGAATATCTCGT